CCACTTTCAATTGTAATGCTAAGCATCCAGGTCCTAGAGCTGACCTTTTGGCACGTTGAAGCCGCTGAAGGGCAAAATGTCAAGACTTGCTGGAAATAGCATTTAAGGCACTTCGCATACATTGCGCTTTGCGGCATGACCGTCAAGCTTGAGCAATGTAGCAATTGTTTACTGTGCCGTAGGCGATTGCACAGGGCTTCTTCATACTAATGTATGTAATGCAGGGACATACACCATCGCAGCTGGGCTCCTGCACAAAATGCAGCTGGATGTGTTCGCCGCTGCATACACAGTGCAACCGTACACGTAAAAGATGCTAAGAGTGCACGCAGGCACATTCACTGTGAGCAAGCACAGACGGACATGCATGAAATACATATAGAGCATGCAGAAAGCTGTGGTATTGGAGAACAGGCAGCAATGTAGAAGAGAGATATGCATTGCAACCGGATCATGTTGATGTGTGTCGTGCTTGCTACTTCTCTCGCTCTGACTCGCGCACCCTAGTCTGAGTGCACACCGTACATATTGCACAAAGCCGTACTTCCTGATGGCTTGTGGGAGACGCTTTGGTTTCGAAGTTTTGGTATCAGGCCGGGGCTACCTGCAGCAGGCTGTGCAACTCGGCCTCGGAATAGAGAATCTTTGACATTGCGACTCAGCAGGTCTTTCAGGAATGGTGACAAAGCGCCGTAAGCCGCTCCTGTTTCCTTAAGCCCCTCGAGCTTGTAGTGTTTTGCCTTCGTGGATGACGTGATTCCGTTCACAAGGATCCTGCAGGGGCTAACCGCTAACCACAAGAACATACCTGAATGGGGGGGTATGTTTATCAACCCGAGAATCTCCGAAAAGCCTGAAATTCTAGATGCCCAAAACCATTCAGAGCATACCATTTGGGACTTAAAATGTGGGCACTTGGATCCTCAGGGAAATCTACTTCTGCTCGGCCTGGAGAGTCCAAGTGTGAGCGTTGAAAACATACTTATTTCTGTTTTGTAGGTCGTGTACCCATAGGCCCTAGAGTAGTTCCTTTTTTGGGCTCATATATAGAATCCTATAAGGTAACCCCAAAAAGGAACTACCATGGGGCCTATGGGTAGAGCTTAGCCAAGGCGGCAAGCTGATCAGTACCATATACCACACGAGTTCATGTACCTACTCGTACACCAATTGCTAGCGCCGGACTGTTGGATGGCAGGAATATCGACGGCGCATCGTCGCGCTCGGTTACGACATCTGTGGTGCTAGGGCTGCTGCTGGGCCTGGCAAAAGGGCGTTTTGTCCTCTCGAAGGCAGGAACAGCTGTCGCACGAAGTCGCAAGCTTGTAGAAGCATTCCAGAATCTTTGGGCCCGGGCTTCCTTTACTGCAGGGCCTGGGGTCGGAAGAGCTCCTTCTATATAAGCTCGCGAATCGAATTCAAGGTTAAGTGTAGTTTTGAGGGTTTTGGGGTTAAGCAGGTACTCCGCACTCATCATGCAGGCAAAGGCCGTGGAAAGGCAGCCCTCAAGAGTCAATTCTGGAAAGCAGGCGAAAGGGACTGCAATTTAATGGATGGCTTATGCACGGTACAAACTTATGGGGGCCTTCTATATATGTCGTCAGGTCCTGCTAGTTGTAGCAAATTTTCCAAGGCGCCTTGCAGGGAGACCTAAATAATGTAAAACAGCCCCAGCTGCAACAGATGCCAGAATCCTCCTTTGCCGTGATGCCCTCTACAGGCAGCCGTTCACAATATACATCCCTTGCTGCCTGACTTGCGAACTTCAGACCGAGCTCGTTCCCTGCATATTTCCCATATGGAACTTTAAGGTTATATCTTCAACACCCGAACCCTTCCAGCTATTTCGTCCCGTGTATGACAGAGCTAAACAGACCCTATGCAGGAGCTACAGAAATAATTGACGCAGCTAGGAGCCGTACCGTAACCCCAGCTTGAAGGAACAAGTACATGAGCCCTCAGGTGGCCATCAAGAATATCCGGAGGATCGAATCCCTCCAGGACCCAAAGCCCTGGCAGATTTTCTCTCTGAAGTACCTCGGTTCACCTGGTTGTATGTCATATAGTCACAGCCACCAGCCACAGTGCACTACAGCACAATCGTGCAGAAACAGGGCGGGTTGAGAGCAGAGCGTGTGTCCACCTGTGGTTTCTTTGTCTGCGCAAGTTACTTCAGGTGTGTGTGTGTGTGTGCGCATGTGTATATATATATATATATATATTTATACACATGTGTTTAAATGAAAGAAATTTATAAATAAACAAATATTTGGGTTTTCACCTTGATTAGATAGCTGGCTTGCTCTCAAGGAAAGCAGCCTGAGTCTTCAGATTTTATTGGGGGGTGCCCAAGCCTTCAGGGGATGGGTGTGGCAGCGTTGCAGCGCAGACTTCGTTTCCGAGTTTTGCAATTGTGCCTTCTTCTGGGTTCACATGGAAAATTGGTATCATGTAGTGCTAGTTTAGTACCAGCCCGGCGTGAGGCACGCCACGGAGCTTTTCCGACTTGCTTAGGCCTATCCTGTAACATGGGGCTAGGGCCAGGGCATGCTAGGACCCTAACCTGTGTGGAAGGCCTCGGTTTCACCAAAACCTAGAAACCTCCACACGCTAAGCCCGAACCCTAAACCCATGCCATAGAGCAAAGGTTCTACCCTCTGATGCTGGGCATGATGGGCCTCAGCGTGGCTTTGCGGAAGCTCTTCCGGAGACACGCAAACGCGTAGAACGTTGGGTCAGGGACGCTGATATTAAACCAATCATGGTATTATTTGTGCCAAGTGCCATCTCTTCGTAATTTGCATGCTTTTTAGCTAGTATTTTAACGATCCTTCGTGTTCAGGTTTAGGTTTGGGAACACACACTCGGCAAGTGCAGGTTTTGGAAGAGCTGGTGGATTCAAGGCGTTGCTTGGAACGGGCATATGATGAATTCGAGACTAGTTTCGCATGCGTCGCATTGATTCCGAGATACGCTAACCCCCCAGGTACCTACTATATAGGGTACTAGAGCCCCGAGGGCCCTATATAGTAGGTACCTGGTGGTTAGGGTTAGATTGTCGGGGAGGTGCAAGGTGACCTTTCCTACGAACCGAACAACCTCGCCTCGAGCTCCCAGTTGCGAGAGCGCGTACCTAAAGCCATAAACGCTTAACTTAATCATAAAGCCCAACATCCTAAACCCAACAACCCCCAAAGCTCTACATCTTCAACCCCACGACCCTAAAACCCCCCCAAATCAACTCCAGGAGCGGCTTCGCCGGTGGAATGGTCACCTATGGAGGCCTCGTTTCGGGCATCGGCACCGCGCTTTTTGTGAGCGCGTTTGCCTACTGGTGTGAAGATGCCTTCGGCGTGAAGGCTAAGAAGTCTGAGCCCACTGTCAAGTAGGGATAGTTTACGTTGGAGGGATATGCGGAGTTCAACTCAGAACGATAAGAAAACAGGTGTCTTTGTTGTGTTCCTGTCTTTGTTCACTCTGGCAGTTCACAAGATGCAGAGACCAGTCAGAAAAAAAAAAAAACTTGTTTCCAGAATATGCGTGTTCGTTGCACAATTATGCTACTAGGCTATTATGAGTAGACTGGTTTTGCTGCAAAGGCAAAGTAGGATGATGTGGTGAAGGGCATGTGGGTACCAAGAGGAACGGGGACTCTGAGACCATGTACAGCAAGAGAGGGACCGAGGAGCAAGCCTGAAAGATGCGCACCTCCTTGTGGGCTCTCGTGTTTCAGAGTTAGTTTGGTCTCACGCTTAATTTGGGGTCGAGGACGTGCTAGAGCTATAGGGGCAGCAGCTTGTGGCCCTGGTCTCGGAGGGCACATGCCCAAGCAGGTTTGTACAGCCTGGATGCCGCGCATGCCAGCACTTGGAATATGTTGCAGCGAGTGCGAAAGTGATGCACAATCAATAGCCTTGTACCTAGAGACTCCGAAACCCCTTAATCAAGGAATATACCTTCATGATAATAGGATCCCTAATGTGATTTACTGTATCTATTCCTTAAGGCGGTTTTGGGGTCTCTAGGTAGAAAGCGTGGCTCTCCCCATCAGTGCCGCAACACTGCATGAACTGCCCTTACCCTCGGCATCCGCTCACGGCAGTTCCAAGGACATGGACATACCCTGGGAGTTTCTGAAAACAAGGGGTACCTTATTTTGGGGTCCTTATAATAAGGATCCTACGACTTAGGGTACTATATTAGGGTCCCCTATTTTCGGGAACCCCCACATGGAGGTTGCAAGAAAACAGGTTTTTGGGGCATGAACTTAGCCTTCCACTTGCTTCAAGCTTGCCAGAAAAGTCTACATAAGCGAGAGAAAAACCGGTATTCCGAGAGCAAAGTTCGGCTAGACAATGTCAAGATCAACACGTGCTCCGTGTGTTGCATGACCTGCTCAGTCTTGCACATGTCATGTGCGATCCACGATTCAGACTTCAAGGTTTTCGGTTTGGCTGCTTGGGTTGCGCTCAGGTCGTAGACATTAGATATCGTGGTCTTGATCGAATGGAAACTTCTCTTACGCTGCCATTAATGGAGATCGGAGCCGAAACAATTCATCAGGCCGTAGTGTCGTAAGACGGCAATAAACGGTGTGATCAGGCCAGGGCTACCACGCAAGGCCTCCATGCTGTAGATATCGATCGCACAACAGGCGTGGCCCACTGCCTGGGCGAAACAAGTTGAATAACTTGAGGCAGAGGCATTCGAGCACGAACTTGCTCGTGTTTTGAATTTCCTAGAGCTTACTTGGTGTAGGAATTTCGTTTGGATCAGTCAGGCACGCCAGACTCTGATGTTGGCTTTGTGCTCTCTTAAACAGACGTAAGTGAGCTGTCGCTTGCGGTAGCTCTTGCGGCGTAGATGCTGTTCTACACAACCCTGATTTCACTTCTCAGAGCCCTCTCTCTCTCTCTCTCTGTATCTCTCTCTCTCTCTCTCTCTCTCTCTCTCGCTCCCTATTTCTTTCTATATACACATGTGCGCATTGGTAAGCTGAGGAAGGCACAGAGCTCCACCCTGGAGGCCGTCCAAAAGGAATGTTTGGCCACGCTGTGCGAGCGAAGTAGGCAGCTTCGTGCAAGTGAAAGGTTTGCATTGAGATCTATAGTCAGTTGGTCCTATGGTTCCGACCCACTGCTGAACAGGGTGGGGAGGTTCAGCAGGAGAGCCGCCAAAACATCATCTGACATGCTTGCGATGATGGCGCTCGATCTCACTATTAGTGTTGTTGGCACTGCTACCCGATTTTGCATTGGCATGTTATCACTTTGATTCTGCTTGATGGCTGGGCTTGAACATGTAAGGTACTATAGCAAACTATAAGATACTACAATATACTAAAGTATACCAAAATACGTCTGGTTTACAAAGATCTGATGACCGTGGCATGCATTGGATCTCGAGGGAACGGGCGTGTGCCCCGGCTTCGTGAGGCCGAGGCCCCACGCCAAACAGTAGTAGTAGTCGTCGTCGTAGTAGTAGTAATGGTCGTAGTAGTAGTAGTAGTAGTAGTAGTAGTAGTAGCAGTTGTAATTTCAATACTATTCGATCAAGAAGACTAGTCAGTGGTATTTTTACATCAAGTTTCCTATTCAACAGACCTTTGAAACTGGGCCAGGCGGCGAAGCGGCTATTTGCCAGTGGCCTGTGGCCAAGCCGCAGTGATTTTGGAGTTTACTACGTTCAGTGGTTTTTTCTACTGATCTGGCCAGTCAGGGTTCGATTTCTGCCTTGGGTGTGAAGGTTCGAGTTGTTCACTTCGCTCAGTGTCTTTGGCTTTAAAGTTGAGGATTTAGGATCTAGGGCTTTTGCCTTCCGACACAACTTGCGTGTACTTCTCCTAAGGGAGCGCACTCGCCCAGCTTCCCTTATACTCCCTTATGTATTCGCGACTGAAACCCGAGAGGGAAGTCTCAGCTCATCTTCGGAGATCTTCGGTTAGTATTGGGCCAATAATCATAATTAGAATAGGGCTTGGGGTAAATTATACTATAGTTAGAGTAAGGAGCCCCCAAAACCCTATTCTAATTATTGAGGCCACTACATTAGAGTTCTCGCAGAGGCTTTCGGGTTTCTACAGCTCCAGCCCTGCAGAGGTATTCTGTGGTTAGGGTTTCGGGTTCTGGTTTACGGGATAGACGGTTTTGGAGAACCTAAGCGCTTGCACACCCACATTACCCAGCTTGTTGCGATGACTTGCATTTTGCTCTGCCTTCATTGGGCCCATAGGCCTGTCTTGCTCGGTAACTGGCCTTTAGCCGTTTCGATCTGTCAAACGAGGCATGCATGAGTATGTGTGTGTCTCTGTCTGTGTGTGTGTGTGTGTGCGCATGTGCGCATGTGTGTGTGTGTGTGTGTTTGTCTGTGTTTTCTGTGTGTCCGCGCATGTATATATATATATATATATAGTTATACGTATGTTCTAGTAGGTTTTGTCTCAATTATTCCTGTGACATATACATACTAGATACACGCATGCATGAATACATACATACACGACGCAAACGGGAGCCTCTCAGGCGAAGTGTCCTCCGCACAGCAGCCGCGTCAATGAGCATAGACGGCGGGAGGGGTGGCATACCAGGGTTAGGGCAAGGTTGGTCATGAAGGACAAGTTGAGATCACTTCTCGGATGTACGTGTTTCTTTGGCAGCTGGTCGTGGCATTTGCCACCAAACCTTCTTGGCGCTTCTCCACCGAGAGGTTGAATGTTGAGTTTGTTTTCTGTCCTGCAACGGTCCTGAATCGCTTCTGACCCTACTTCAGCCTCGCCTTCCTACAGAGTGGGTCCGAGCATGGTTGTGATGATCATGGAGGACAGTCATTACTATGACATTGACTGCTTGTTAACAATTGAAAGGGGTCTAGCTCTTTTTGTAGCCACTTTCTGCACAAGACAAATTTCGCAAGACTTGCCCAGAAATATGATTTCCAAACCTGAACCTGAAGCCCTGAAAATCAGCGGGTAGGAAAAAGCCGTGAAAACACAACAGTTTGGGAAGACCTGCTGAGCCACCACGCCTCCCTGGCCAGGTAACACTATCCTTTTCCTTCAAGGAGATCTCAACAGCCGCACCCGGGCAAGAGCTCTTCCGAAGCCTCGCTACCCAAGGTTGTCAGATTTGCTTCAGGGCTTGGTTGGGTTCAGGGTCTAGGGTCTCGGTAGCAAGGCGATGCGAGAGCGAGAAGCAGCGAAACACTTTGTGTGCAGCACTAAAATCGCCAAGTGCTGGGCAAGACAAGCCACACAAGAAGAATGGGCTCTTTTCGAGTCAGACTTCTAGTTTGCACCAATCTGCATCAGAAACCTGGCAGCCCAGGCACCCTTCTGGAGGGTACTCGATGCAAGGACCTGTTGCTCGAGGCTAGGCTTCTTGCAGGCTAATTTCTCGAGGTGAGAGGTTTAGCAGTCAAGCTGTGAAGTTAGGTGCTTGTTCTTGCATATGGCCGAGACGAGTTCTGCAAGCAGCGTCTTGATCCACTGCCTCGTTGCCGCTTGCTATAGGTTCGCAGGTCTTGCAAGCCGGTCAGCAACTAGGATAGACCAGACCATGCCCGATTTGCTGCCTTCCCGTTTGCACACGCACAAGTGTCACTCTCGACTTCCGAGAAGAGCGAGAGCGAGAGTGCGACATGCATAGTTAACATACTTGCAGACACGCACATACATACATACGAACATACATGCATACTTATCTCTCATAGGTACCTATACGTATACATGAGCCTGTTGTGTGTGTGGTCGTGCGTGGGTTCGCATGCCACATCTATGCATGCATGCATATCTGCTCACCATGCTAGCGTGCGCACGCGAACACACGGAGCGCATGGCCACGAACGCTCAACCGGTAGCCTCAACGCCACAACGAGGTGCTGAAGGACCTACCCTTGCAACGAGCCATCCAGCGTGCCCTGGCGCTGGAGTGTAGAGGAAAGGCATTGTCTGGGCTCGGTGATTTTCATCGTGTGGTTTCGAGGTGTATAAGAACACCGATGGGTTAGACTCATGCGGAGCTTCGGGTCCCAAGAAATCTGCTTCACAGGGTCCACGGTTACCTTTGCATCCTCTTCTCGTCATTCGGAATATAGACGAGGGTCACACGGAGATGACGGCCAGCTTGACCTCGGCAGAAGGGGTACTTAGCTGCACCGCGCCAAGGCAGCCTGAACCCTGAAGCCAAACTAGACCCCCTCCAATAACGCTGCAGTTTGAACCTGAAGCCTGAGCTTGGTATACCATCCATTAGCCCGCGTAGAGGTTAGGGATCCGCGCAAGGGTTTATCAAGCGTACCTTGCCAGGTCACGGAGACTTGTATGGTAGAGCCCCTTACAGTGTTTAAGGTCCTGCAGTTGGGTTAGGGCGGGTACTTCTGGCGACTGGGGACGGTGACCCTGAGAAGCGAAAGAACCGAAACCTGTGCCGTGGTTCTCATACCGTAGGCAAGCCGCATGACCGTCTCCAGAATCCCACACTTGTGTAGACCGTTCCTCTTGCCTCATGACTTAAAATATATCAGCAGGGTTTAGCAGTGTAGCCGCTGGGTTCGGTTTTCAGGATCTGGCACTTGTTGCTCTCTATACTATGCTGTGCTATACTCTACTATACTATGCTATACCTTAAGATACTAGGCTATACTACATCGGTATATCCCTTACTGAGCCGACAACTTACCCCAAACCCCAGACCGGATTCTGAGGGTGCTCCGCAACCGAAGTCAGAGCATAGGCGGACTTGAGCTGCCAAGCGGTCGATGGTACGAGGCCCGATGCTGAGGTATAAGGCTCGGGGTATTGTGCCACGGTTTAGGGTTTAGGGTTTGTTCGACTCGACGAGCTTCCTCTGCCCTTGTCTGGTGCCAGACTTAGAAATCCACTATACAGAAACATTAGACGGTCATAATGTCATGGTTAGTCTTCCTGGAACCACAAGAACTCTCCGGAACCTGGAGCCCTGGGCCCTGCATTCTGAGTTGTGCCAGTCGGAACAGGGCTCAGGGCTTCTAGGGTCTAAAGTCTGAAGCTAAATCCGAGCACGTCAGCCCGAAACCATCAATCCCCAAGCCCAAACACCCCGTACTGCAGATAAACCCATAATCCACACCATGCTAAACCCGTAACCTGAAAGCCTGAAAGGGGCAGTCGCGGAAATCTTCAGACTTCATGATGCAGAGCCACCTGCAAGTCCTTTCCTGATCACCTTGAAAGTTCCGACTGGAGCCCTTGGGCCCGTGTGGTACATTATTTTCCTTGTTATAGTCCGTTATGCTTCTTCTTATTCTTCTTCTTCGTATTTGTTGTCTTAGTCTTCTGCTCATCTTTCTTCTTGTGGGGCGTGGTCGTCGTCATTATTGGTGCTGCTGATGCTGCTATCCCCCGTACTGCTAGGACAATGACTACGACTGCTGCTGCGTTCTTCTGTATCCTGGTTTAGCCCTCAACTCCCTTGTGTCATCCTGTTCCAGGGCTGCTCTAAAATTACGGATCCCGGACGGGGGGTCCTTGTATTGAATAGGATCCCTCCGTTCTTAAAACTCCCACTTGGCCGAAACCCAGCTCGTCGCAAAACCCGAACACCATCGTAGGTAGGTTCGTCCTAGCTAGGAGGGACACAAAACGACCCTAAGCCGTAAAGCCCAGACCTGTTAGTCTGCCCTCATCCCTAAAACCTAAAACCCCAAACGTCGCCTGACGCCGTCAAGTGCAACAGCCAAACAGAAGCCTGCGCCTGCGAGATCGGAGCGCCGTCTTCGGAGTCTTTGGGGGCTGCCGCCCTGCCAGTAACCTACAAGCCACTCGGGATCAACAAGAGAGTTTCAATAGGGTTTAGGGTTTAGGGACCAATGGCGGTAGCTTTTCAATAGTCTAGGGTTTAGGGGCCAACAATAGAGTTTCAATCTTGTTTAGGGTTCAGTGTTTAGGAACCAGTTGTAGAGTTTCCATGCGGGTGATCGGGCTCGGGGGGCTATGCTAGAGCTAAGTATGTTTAGGGTTTAGGTGCTGGTAGTGTCGCGCGACAGGATTCGGGTCTGGGAGGTGCGCATATGGGGTTGGGGACCCAGAATTGCCAAAGGTTGGCTGCAGAGTGTGTGAAAAGGTTGGACAACATACATGAACAAGGCCACCCTATGGACTCCCAGAGCCCAAACCCCGCGAGCTGGCTTCCGACTTCTGCTATCCAATGTTACGTCTTTGTGAATATCTGCTTGAAATCAGAGCAGACTTTAGGAGGCACTGCAGGCAACAACCAGAAGCTACCCTAACCGGGTGCACACCCGAGAGCGGTAGCAACGATGTCCTTGCATTTACAACTGATCAACCTAAACCCTATCCCAAGAAAGCTCCAAGTCCCAGTCCCAATAGTAAACCCTTACACTTAATACCACCTTCAACCCCCAAACCTGCAAACCTTACACTTCAATCTTTCAACCCGTGCTAAACCATTACGAGCCCTACACTCCAGAAGCCCTAAACCCTAGACTTCGAAACCCGCAAAACTCCCCAGAGGCTCCAAAATCCTTTAATTAGGGAATATACTTTATATCATACTAGGTATCCTATTATTATTTAAGGTATATTCCTTAATTAAGGGATTTTGGAGTCTTTGGGTCCCAAGAACTTCAGGTTTCATCCGAAGCCCGCTGAGCCGATGCCAGCCGACGGAGCACTGAGGAGTGCTTGCTGCCCTTAGGGTGTCTATGAGGGCTACAGTACTAGAAGCGTATTACAGTAAGGTCTACGTAGGGGTTTAGGGACTCTATAGGGCTTGCTGTGCGGTTTTCGGTTTAGGGCTACGTACTAGAGGGGTCTACTGGAAGCGCTACCATATGCCATAAGGGCTGCTACTAGAAGGTTGCTGGGGCAGTCTCCTTTGTAGTTGCTTTTTGAGTTTACACTCATTTTTCACTACAGGATCGTACTCATAGACTCAGTCGCGAAAAGGAACTCCAATGGAGACTATACGTTGTTCTTCTGCACGATTTCGGATCGGATTCTTGTGTTTCACAGCTCCGGCTATGATTACGTACAGGCTTTTGAGGTTGAGGGCTCGCGTCAGCATTATGGCAAGGTCGGGCCCTATAACACCGGCGGAGCAGTCGCTCAGTTCACCGATCCGGCTCACATGCAAACGCTTTTTTGTCACACCCCTTATTACAAGCCCGAGTATGCCCTAGTAGGTGCGTAGTAGTTACCCTGTACAGCACTGGAAGGCTGACACCTTACACTTACACGATATCCTGCTTGGGACCTAACCGTTGAGAGCACCAAGAGATTCTTCCCAGACTGTTTCGAAACGGGATCCTTGCTGATCCACGTGGGTAGTTCTAAAGTAGGGTCCCGCACCCGTGTGAAAAGGACCCTGAAAGAGACTCGAATCTAGAGAACTACCCCTGTGCAGGCTGGGCGACATCCTGGAAGAGGCAGGCAAAGCAAGGCTCCTTCCCCGGCTCTACATTTTGAGCCCTGCGGTGCGTGGTTTCGGGTGTTGGGACATGGCAGTGTCAGAACCACGGGACCCCACTAAGGAATGTTGAGTGTAGTATAATAGTACAGTAAGTGTATGAATATTGGGATTCTAGGCCTGATATTCGGAACCCCTGGTTATCCCTAGTTTAAGAAGCCTGGCCCTGTCATGCCTGGCTTATATTTACCAGTCTTCACATTTGCGAGAGATTCAAGTTCCAGAGCGAAGACTGGCCCTAGCCGCCCTAGCCTAAACATCTTGTGAGTACCCATAGGCCCCATAGTAGTTCCTTTTTGGCGTTACCTTCTAGGATTCTATATATGAACCCCAAAAAGGAACTACTATGGGGCCTATGGGTAGAGCCCTCAAACCTACCTAAATCTTATGACCCTCTGCACAGCCTGAAACCCGTGCGGGCAGACGCGCCTGCCTTGAGCGAGTGTGCGAGTCGAAACCCGTGATGGTGCTATAGCCCCCGCTAAATCCGTCACGTCCAAAAAAGCAAAGCAAACAGGGATGGTTCTCTTGGAGCCTCCGCAGTTTGACGTGTTCTGCTGCTCTGTACCCTGAGAGCTGAAACTGCTCAGCTTTGGAAGGCTCTTCCCCAGCGCGCCGTCGGGAGGGCAAGGTGTGCACGTGCCAGAGTATCCTGGCCACTTGAGGGTTTCCTGATGTTAAAGTCGTGACTAAAAGGGCCACTTGCCCAAATCAGATGGGAGTCTGGTGACTTGCTTGCAAGAGGCCGATGAAATGCTTCATGGTGTCCGGACCATCTATCAAATTCTCGCAGGGGATCTCCGGAAACCAAACGCAAAACCTACGCTTTCATGGCCGCTCAGGGGTATTCGCACCGTACTAGCATCACAGATGTCAAGCCCTAGGCCCTAGACCCTGCGGTAGCTCCAGGCAGGCACTCTGTGGCTAAAGGCCCCATGATTCACGACACAATCCACACCCTCGGCTCAAAACCCTAACCAACGCCTAGAGCCTGAAGCCCGAAGCGCAGAAGGAGAAGAAGTGTCCCAGAATTTGCCCGAATTGCCCCCAACCGCCCTACATAGAACCCCCCCACACCCCGTAAACCCCAAAAAGCTCAGCCTTACTCAGACCCTGACCTGACGTCGGGACGTATGCCGGAGTAGCTACTATAGACTAGGTCGTTGTTTCAAGGGGGGGTTGTGGGGGGGGTCCTTTTAGTTTAGGGTTTCTGGCTTGGGGTGCATATTTTAGTATAAACTTGTCTCTCTCTCTCTCAAAATATATATATATATATACTTACACATATGTCTGTATATACATATAAGCATCTATCATATTCGGGTACCCCAGGAAGTACCGCGAAACCCTCCTGGACGCAGAGGAAGCGTGCAACCGACTCTGGGTCTGAAAGCTTTCGGTCCGCTTGGCGTGGCCGGTTTTGAGCATCGTGCTCTTCCCCAACCCTCCAGGTACCTACTTTTCTAGGGCCCTACAAACTCTAGTACCCTATATAGTAGGCACCTGGGGGGTTCGGGCTTGTTTACATGCAGGTTTAGGGTGTAAACTGTGTAGGGTAGCTTTCCGGAAATAAGCCTCCAGATCCCGAATCGGCATGCTTTAAGCCTCGAGGCAGGTTGCGGTAGACTCAGGGCTTGGATTGCTAGCCCATGAACGTACTGGGTTGGAGTCGGAGTTTATGGTTTGAAACTGTCATCCCTAGCAACCTCCGAACTCCGAGTTCGGTAAGCATGAAGCTTGAGGGCCACATCTTTGGCAGGTCCGAGCAGTACTGCATCCTCAGTTCCCAATCTGACAGTCGGAGCTAAAACAAATCTGAAAACTCTGAACACAGAACTTCGGACCTCAGGCTCTGAATATGTAAACCGCCAACCTCGGAAACCTGCAATTCCATAAGCCCTATAAGCAGCATGACCCGAACTTTAATGGAGAAGTTGATGAAGCAAAAACCTCGTACAACATGCTCTGCAGGTTGGGGCCTGGCATTCAAGAAGTCGGCTTTCCGACCTTTCCGATTCCCGGCCAGCCAAGGGCTGAGCTTGGGTTCACTCAGGTCTTGGATGGACGGCTCGGGATGGCTCGGGTGTGGGATGTAGGGTAGGGGGTTCTGGGTGCTTTCGGGCTTGGGGGATGTAGAGTCCAGGTGTTTGGCAATCAAAGGTTGAGGGTCTACTAGGGCTTGTACCCGGGATGTGAGGCTTTGGAGGTTTCGCGACGGTTGCGGTTTTGGGGTCGTGGTCTCCGTTGTCGGGAGGGGTGCTTAGCCATGTATAGGCTTTTACCATACTCTCGCTGCGACAGCAATCACGACGACGACAGCGCCAAACATCACCAAGCGAAGCCGTGACGACAGCAATCCAAACGGCGATCAACTGCATCGTTCTCGTCAGTATTACAGTATTATTGCCATCGCACACGCACTATGATTATCTTACACTGCCACACCTCGTCATCTACGGGCAGAGACTGAGCACACCGAGTCTTCTGAGGCGCAGATCGCATGATCTACTGGGCTTCCGAGGCGTCTCGGCGAGACTTCCAGGGCTTGAATCACTTGATGCACGGTTTTGCGGACACTTCAGGAGACGAAGGCTCACGCGATAGGAGAATCGGAGACTGAGTTCCCAGACCGTCCCGGGATTTCGGGTTGAACCGTAAGTTTCTGAAGCGAAAGCCGGAGGTCGGAGTGCCAGGGTTTCGTGCTTCGGGTCTCGGGCTCGGGTTGTAGGTCAATGTCAATCGTAAATTACTCCGTACGTGGGAGTCCCAAGAAGTGAGTAGACCCTGTCGGTCCTGAAGAGCAGGATCCGTAGTCTAAGGGCCTTCATAGACGGTACCCTGGTTGTCTGAACCCCCGCTGTATTTCACGAGACACGCGGCTCTGACTTCTCAAGAAGCCATGAGTCCGGCGTACCGCCGTTGACACATCTTGCCTTTGTGACATTGAGTATGGCAGCTATTATGAGTCTTATGTGCCCCACGCCGAAAGCCTCCAGCTCAACACCCGAGGGGTTGCGGCCCCGGTTCAAATAAACTGGAAATCCTCGACCCTGTTCCCGGCCAAGTCCCTTGCACAGCGCTTGTCCTGGGAACTCCACCACGGCGGCTACCAGGCCCGGCTTTCCATGATCGTGCGTAAAGTAAATGTCATGGAGTCGGCTACAGTCATTAACAAAGTTATTAATAGTAATAGTAGTAACATTTGAAACTGACTTTGGACAAGGACTTAGTTTGCATGTACGTTCGGCCTGCACTTCCGTAGCCTCTGTGCGGAAGAGGCTGCGATGTCTTTCTCGTTGCTATGCAGGCTAGGCTCCCATTGGTGACAATGTGTCCGACTCAGGCCATCTTGAACATACAGCCCCTAAGGTATTTGTAGAACAAGTACGTAGAGTGCCTGAACATCGTATTCTGTTTGAAAAACTGAAGTCTGCAAACTATCCCCAAACCGGGAAGCTGGCGTGCCATGTTCTGGCTCCGAGGTTCGTCACAGCAGGCGTTCTATTGCTTCGGAGCTGTAACGGACCTTGTCCCTGAGCCCTCAATTCTTCTACAACCCATACCCAAAGTCGCCTACATTGCCACTTGCATGTGTAAACGCACAGCAAGCGAAAGCACACAAACGATAAACATCAACGTCGACATTTGTATACATAAAAAAGGAATTATATTTACATATGTATGTGTTTACTTTTGTGCATGTGCAGATGCGTGTATGTATCTTTTTGTTGAGAGAGATTGAGAGAGAGAGAGAGAGAGAACGTAGGAGGAGGCCTGCGTGGTGGTGCTTGAACCTCTGTCAGGTGAACTTTCAGCAGCTGGGGAGCCACACGGCCCAGCTTCGATCGTTGGTGGGTTTAGGATCAATAGTGCCTACATAGGCTCCATTGTAGTTCCCATTTTGGGTTACCTTATAAGATCCTTAATATAGAATTGGTTAAACCCAAAAAAAAGAACTACAGTGGAGACTATATAGGTGGGTTCCAGCTGGGAGCAGCCCCCAGTTGCAGGGATAGTTTCCACAAACGTGCGCAAGCATGCCGAGTGGCTGTAAGACTGTAAGTGTCTCGCTGCCAACTTCAATATCGGCGGCTGTTGATGTTTGCGGGCGAACTATCGGTTTTGCTGTCTAGTTGTGATGAGCAGTCTACTTAATCACAGCCGGGACAACATATCCTCCATTTGTTGTTAAAGGCATTCTCTACGAATCTCCAGCCTCTCTGAGTCTACAGAAAACGTTTCTCGATTTCTAGGTCACAGCTAAAATCAGCCGAGGTGATCATAAGCCTGCTGCTCGGCTTGACATCACAATTGAATTTCTTTCCTGGCAGTTAATTCAGTCCACCAGTTCATGAAAAAGCGGTTGCAGCCTAAAGCAAGGGGTGTTTCAGAAAATCGGTGAAAAGGCGGTTTCAGAAAATAGGTGGGAAAAGGAGACTCCATATTATAAAGACTCTTGGGGTGCTTGCAAGAAGGGCCCCCTGAAGGAGCACCTTGTGTCAAGAAGCCGCTCCGCGCCAAACCTTTCCAAGCCTAGTCCTGTGGGAGGCAAAAACGGGGTAAAACATGAGAAACGCGAAGTTTCCACCTGTCGTCTGCCGTCTGCCGACTGCTAACAATGTGTACATGTTTTATAAATGCATAAACTAAATGCAAGCAAAGGAATATTAGTATATATATATATATATATACCTATGTATATGTGGACCTGCATCCTTGAGGTTTGGCTTGAGGTATCCCTGCGCGTCGCACCACCACTGGGCCGGGCCGCCAGCCCCGAGAAGAGTCGCGATGCCGAAGTGGCCGCTTTTGCAGCAAGTCTAGTCCTTGGGGATGCAACCCTAAACCCTATCCAACCTCGCCTGTGAGCTTCGTTCTCTGCCATGCGAGAGGGAAAAAACCGAGCTTGGGGCTTAGGGCCTGAAGGGTTTGAGATGGCTTGGGCCTTATAGGTTACGGGGATGGAGACTAGGGATGCGGGGATACAAGAAACAGAGAATCCGAACAGCCTCATCTGCGACTGCGCTAGAATTCAAAAGCTGTTTCGGCGCAGCCCGCACCGAGAATATAATCAGTTCTGCTTTCAGTCCTAGGTTCTCGATAATGCTCGACTCTCGAGGCACGGAGAGAGAGAGCGAGAGAGAGAGAGACAGAGAAAACTTTTGCCTGACCGAGGGTTTGTAAGGCTTTATGCGTCGCAGACTTGGAGTTTCGGCCTCATGATATATATATATATATATATATGTGTGTGTGTGTGTACTTCTATCTATCTGTTTGTCTATCTGTCTATCTATCTACCTATCTATCTATCTATCTATCTATCTATCTGTCTGTCTATCTATCTGTGAATGTTCATACGTGTGTATGTGTGTATTTGTTTATGCAAGTTTGCAAGTACACTTGCGCACCATACACACAACTCGGTTGTTGGGCGGCTGCAACTTATGCAACCGAAGCAGACATGCGGGCTTGCTTGCACTGCATGGGGCTGTGCACATCGCAACCACTGGACAACCGCTCTGACCGGGAGGATCTGGCACATTGACAGCCCCATTGGGGTTCAGGTTTACTAGGCTTTTTGCGTCCGGCTTTGAGGGTTTAGGGATCTGGCAACATGATGGCCGCAGTGGACTCTGAGGTTTAAGGATCCGGCACATTGAGGGTCTGACACCACCGAAGCCTTAATTCTAAAACAGATCGGTTTCATCCTGTTGTCAGCAGTCGTGTGTAGGGCACAGGAAGGTCTCAGGATTGCGTTGGATTTCATGTTTCTGTCTATCTCTTTCTTCCCCCTTCTATCTATCTTTCTCTCTCTCTCTCTCTCTCTCTCTCTCGTGAGGAAGATCTGGATGAGTTCGATCCCCTCCCGGCAGAAGCTGCGAGTGCGTCCCAGCCTGGAACGGCCCCACAGAAGCAAGAATTGCGAACGTGATGTTTTTGGAACTCACCGGGGTAACCGGACACGTCCTGACGTTTTTGCATCTAGATGTTGTAAGAATGTCAATCCGAAGACATGTGAGATTGTACAGTTGCTCCGCATAATTACTTTCCACGCGAATATGCATGCATACCTGCTTCTCCGTGTCTGCTCAGCATTGGCGAAAGGAGGAATCGTGCCCCAAAGTAGGTCTGTGGAGAGAGAACCCAATACCCCTTAATTAAGGAATATACCTTAAATCATAATATTAAGGTCCCTATAATTTAAGCTATATTCCTTAGTTAAAGTGTAGTGGCTTCTCTGGGTTTGTTGGAGCTTCAGCGGTCTGCTGGGTGGGTGGCAGCTTCGAGCTCCAGTGAGCTCATGAAGTCCCTTTCTGTTGCTTTGAGGTTCAAATGTTACATTGAGAAGCAGAGTCTGCAAAGGAAAGGTATTGCGAGATTGCACCATGCATGTTACCATACATGTATCCCCAACCCCCCCCCCCACCCAAAACAAAAAAAAACTAACAAGCCAAGTCCACACAAGCCCGCAATACGAGGTGTACCGGGTAGGGGTGTTAACGTTAGTGTAGGGCGGCTAACTGAGATCGGCTCCGTCGCATCTTGGTGGGCGAGGCTGGGCTGCTGTCGTAGTCTAGGTGTCCCCCTTTTTTCCTATCTAAACCCTACGCAGGAAACGGTTTGGGGTTTTAGGGTTTGCGGGTTCCCGCTGCAAATATGACTTTTTGCGCTTCCCACAACAGTATGTACAGGCGTTTAACCATGGCTACCCGTCTCGGGGTTTACTAATTCTACGTCTTCGGGATGTGGCGCAACTACCCTGTCTACGCGTGGTGAGGCCCAAGCCCTGCACCTTAACCCCAGCCAGCTGTGACCCAGGCCTAAACCCGGCACCTGAAACCTAAGCAATTGCAGTGAGCCTGCCGGTTTGCAAGCCAGACAGCAAGCACCCCCTTGTTGCCCGTTTCCACTGCATCCCCAACATTTCGGACAAGCAAGTTCTGGCCGGGGGCCCTACCCAGCCATCCTTAAATCCCGAACTATGTGGAGCCTTGCCTGCCTTGTGCGAGAGTGAGAGTCGAAACCACAAACCACATCGCTAGCTCAGGGTTTACGGCGGAGAAAAATGCCTCATATGCCTCACTCATCGCGTAATGCAATGTAGACCACTACGAAGGGAGGTTTTCCAATCAGAGGCCTACATTAATGGCTTAGCAAGTGCAATGACGTCACGCTTGGCCACGGCTTGAAAACAAGAAAGGGCCGTTCGGTTCTGGCCGGATGCTGTGCCTCACTCATCGTGTAATGTAGACCACTATGAAGGGAGGTTTTTCAAACAGAGGCCTACATTAATGGCCTAGCAAGTGCAACGACATCTCGCTTGGCCACGGCTTGAAAATTTCAACTTTCAAAACAAGACAGGGCCGTTCGGTTCTGGCCGGATGCTGTATTGGCCCTGATGCTTGCTACATCTTGCTGCTTGAAATGGAGATGGAGTATGTTGAGTTGCACTGGGTTTTGCTCAGTGAGAAATGACGCCGATGATCTGCTTCGGCTGCCATTCCGGCTTTTGTAGGGAAGACCCCGGCTTTTTGAAGTAGCTGCTTTAACGCGAGCTTCCTATCGGAGGGCAGGGCATCCATGCGGAAGCTTTACTGAACTGATCACAGAGCTTCCTACTCTACGACTGACTGAATCCTTTGAAGCCAGTGCGGGTCGTTGTCTTTGGCTGTCACATCGTCTGCTAAGTGGCCGCAGCAACGGACACATCGTCAACATTCGCACCCACCTATAAAGAGGCGGATACCGGGACATAAACCTAACCTCTGCATGCCATGCCGCAGGTGTCGGCCGAATCTGCGACCCGGCCGTGATTGGAACTGGACTCCGGACCGGGATGCCGACGCTCGCATGACATAAGACTCGACAGCTGAACTCCAACACTCATGTTGCTTCGGTTAGGTTTCTCTCCGAAGGGACGCACTTGGATTGTAGTGTGTAGGGGTCCTATATTCCGGAACAGACACTACGTTCTGTTTTGTGAAACCCTGCCTTCAGTGGTTCCGAAAGGCAGATTGCGAGATCTGTGACATCCCTTTCTCCCTCCTGCGGCGACGTCATCATTGAGACTTGCTTCAACTTTGGATGGGCACAGTACTGCCAGGGCTCTTACGCTCTTAGACACCCACTGTAGAACCGTCAGTCGAATAATGTGCAGAGTAGCCATCATAATTCGTTTCACTGCCGGAAATTGGCACTTGACGTAGGGAGCCGCAGCGGAAGGTCGTCTTATGGTCAGGTCAGCCGAGGATCTGGCTGCCTCCAACCTGAAACACACGGCCAGAAAGCCTTAGCCTTAATGCTGCAAATGTCCACCTCGGCATGTATGCATTTGTAATTACGTACAGAATGAATGAGTTTATGTGTGTGCGTGTGTATGCGTGTGTGTATGTGCATGTATGTGTATGTGTATGTGTATGTATGTATGCATGTATGTATTCGTTTAATGTACGTGCATAAATACGTGCTTGCATGACCATACCTAAGCTATATATGTACTGTGTTGTGCATAGCTTGACAAGCATACGTAGATTAGGCCTTATCAACTCCTGCCAAGCTTCAAGGCAAGTCCTGAAAATCAGGCTCAGTTCCCACCTTCCAGCGAAAACAGAGGCCTACATCCTGAAAACCCTATAACCGTGAGAAAGCCCTGAAGTCCCAAAGCACTGAACCCTGGCCCTACACATAGGCCCCATAGTAGTTCCTTTTTGGGGTTACCTTATAGGATTCTATATATGGACCCCCCAAGAGGAACTGGTTTCGGGCCTATGGGTAACCCCATTATCAAGAAAGGCCGACACTGCGGGCGCTGCGTTTGTGATGCCTGCAGTCCCGCCGAGGGCTGGCGCATCATCCCAGAGTGCCGAGCTTCAAGTTTGGATTTACGGTTTTAGTACAGGCTTTTGGGCTTCGTTTCCGAAATTATAAGATTTAGGACTGACGAATGAGGCATCATAGAGCTTTGGCTGAAGGTTTATGATCGGACATTAGTGTGCCTGGGAGGGATTTACGGTTCAGCTCAGGGTGGTTTCAGGGTCAATCGCGATTCCAACTCCTGTGAGCATGGGAGCTGGCGAATTTACGAGCCTTCTGTCGATTCAAAGTGCTTAGGTGATGGATGAAATTGGTCAGTCACGATAGGCGACCTGACGTTGTGAAAAAACAGCGGCTAGCAGTATCAAGGGGTGTTCCTGCATGTGTGTACGTTTGTGTTTGCATGGAAACGGCATGCATAAATCAGACAAGCACTGATACATAAATGATCATGAATCGGTACAAACAGACAGGCCGATCGACGAGCAGACAGACCAACCGACGGACAGACAGACCGACCGAGCGACAGACAGACTGATCGCAGACGGACAGACAGACAGACAGACAGACAGACACAACATAGCCTAAGAAGGCTTAAGACATCCAGTCAGCAATTAGATAGCCTGATAGGTAGGTATACAGATATAAACATACATGGTGTTTGCTTCCATGTGTGTGCACATGCGCAGATGCATATGCTTGACACCGGCCGAGTCACCGACAGCTCCAGCGCGCATATTCCTAGACTCACCTTTAACTGAGCCGGCCAGCCTTCGATATCGACATCGACCCCTTCAATCCCTGTAGTCCACTGGGCCATTAAATTCCACAGAGCCTTCTGATCCCAGCAGCCATCAAACTACCTGAACTTCTAATAACATGCATCCACGGTCCTGCAATGCGTCGCAGCCTGGTCTTGGACATGAATGATTTCTTGCACCACTGCACCTGGACCTTTCATCCCAGTTGAAGATGCAGGCACGTGGTCTGCATCCAGCCGCCAGCTTCCAAAGAGAACCAGGTAAGCTTCATGAGGCAGAACCCTATGCTACAGGCTTATATCCAACATTCAGTCTCAGCCGACCGCTCAGGATCGACCCCGCGCGCCCAAGCCGCCTTTGTTTCGATTGTGCTCCTGCGCCAGAGCGGACTGCTGAGACAGATCGGCTCTGATGGACAGAAAGAGAATCGCAAGCAGCAGCTTGTATGTAGATTGCCATGCGTATACTGTATACTTGCATACAGAAAGCTTTCTTCTGACATGTGTGTGTGTGTCTATATGTATGTACATCTGTGCACATGTTATACAAGGAACGAAACTTTAGACTCTACTTCGTTTGTGGTTATTCATACTTTGGTCATGATAGTTGAGGTCATAGTCCATTTCGCAAAACCTTCCATACCTCTGTATTTAATGTTTCCTTCCATGGACACACAATCACACACGACTTCCACAAGCACGGACGTGCACATACACATGTTTGCATGTATGTATACACATACAAGAACTCGATATAAGAAGGGGACGACGCTAAAAGCATATCTATATATATATATATATATATATATTCGGTCAACGTACAGACGGGGACTGGTTCTGTTCTTGTGTCAGGCATTCATTCTCAGTCCTCCGATGTCCTCTGTGTCACATCAGAAGGCAAAGCTTTTGGAGTTGCTGTGCTTAGGATTGGTTAAGATTAACATGTTCAGCTTGCAACCCCTTGAGGCGACTATGGATGCAAGAAGCTTGCAACCGGTAGTGTGCAGCCGTGGCGTCCCCACTGCCCTGTCACTACATGCGCACTTGTCGGGGCGTTCTACTGACTAGAAATCTGTGACCACTCTCCGCTCAACTAACCCTTTTAGAGTTCTTGCACAGGGTATAGCCAGAATCCTTGTTTTGATTTCTTCAGGCCCCTGCGTTATCCGGTCAAGGGGCTCTGGTTTTGAAGACTCAGCCGGCGCGCCAGGCGGCGATGCGAGTCGCATTGCGGCACGAGCAGCTGGAAGTCGGGGCCCCTGACTCCTAGCCCAACACTAATACAGCACAGTTTTCCGAAAATCGAGTAAGAAGCCCTTCTTTGCGGACGCGGTCGGTTCTTTACAATGCCCCGCTCTTAGGACCTCCATTGTAATTAGTCATAACGCTTGAGGTTGCTTTCTGTCATAATGGCTGTTTGATGACATGGTCGGACATTTAATTCACGGGCACCTGAACACCGAGAAGGTCAGCTCCGGTGGATGGGGGTTTAGGGTTTAGGGTTTAGGGGGGAATGCTTCAGAGAGACCTCGTTCAAAAAAGGGGGGAATGCTCCGGGTTGTGTCCGCGTGGATGGCTGCATGGATGAGATGGATGGGGTACTGAGTTTGTTGCGCGGCAAGCGTGGGTATTTTGCTGCTGCTCTGGCATCGCTCCTTCGCCAATACATGCGAATAATGCTTTCGAGTTCGACCATATCTTCCCGCGACTGATCCCGTCAGCTGACTTCCGATTTCGTGCGAGGGTTCCATACCAAGCTTCGTTGCCAGATTCAGGTTCCAAGGATTCAGAGAAAGGCGGCATCAGCTGAGCCCTGTTAACATATATATATATATATATATGAATCATAAAGTCTGGCCCTCAGGAATACGTGCCTAGCGGGATGTTGGGAGGCATTATCTGCAGGGCGAAGATCCAGCTTGGTTTGAGAAGTCGTTGAAAGTTCCGAGTTTTTGCGTCGCAGGATTCAGAGTGAGAGCCCTTTTGGGGTTTAGGGTCTACGGTGGCTTGTCGGATTCCGGATCGTAGACCACCGATGAGCCATGAACCATCCCTGATTCGTCCCTATGCATCAGGCGATGGGAATGCCTGAGCTAAGCTGCGAAGCGCAGGTGCGCTTTGTTTTGGGGTTTGGGACCTTGTCGTTGATCTGTTTTAACGCTTTGGGCCGAAACGCTAACTCCGACTTGTTGCCGCTGTGGTGATTCGGAGTGTGTAGAGCCTTGCCTGCCTTGCGCGAGTTGTGAGAGTCGAAACCGAAACCACCAGCCCAACCCCTAATCCCGAAGCCTAAACCTGTTAAGTTTAAGCTTTTTACATGTGCCTGTTCCGTGGTATGGCGCTACTCACAACACTCTCCCATGTGAAAGTAGCAAGCTGGATGAGTCGTGGATCCGGCCTGCCATCTGCGAGTGTGCGAGTCGAACCCCCTTGCACGTTAGGGTCAATTAAAACTTCAATGGTCTTGTATGCGATTCAGAGTTGGTGTTTAACATCCAGGGGGTTGTGGGCTGAATGCTTTAAGTCAAGGGTCGTCGGGTGCTTAGTACTTGGGGCTTGGGGTTCAAGTTTTAGCAGCCTTTGTCGCCGTGGTGAAGATAATGTAGGGGCCTTAATGATCAGAATAGGGGTTTGGGCTCCTTTAATAGTAGTATTATGATAAGGTACATAAGGAATATCAGATTTAGTTATTTAGGCTTCTAGTAGTACAGGGGCTATGCTTGCCGCTGTGTCCCAGTTTGGACCATGCTGGGAGCCCCGGAGTTCTGACCAATAACAGGAGTGGCTTCCATAACAAGCTCTTTGTTCAAGAGTAACATAAGGGCCTAAATACTTGCTACTACTATTCTGGGGTGTTCTTTGTATATGGTTATAGTATGAATATAGCCCCAAAACTCTCTTCTATTTATTAAGGCCCCTATATTCGCCCGATGTGTGTCATGCCTCGGCTGCCTGCTGCCACGGGGACCTAAGGGACTTTGACAAATCTTGTCGTTCGAACCGCGGAGACCGCACTGGGATTGCTATTCTAAGTCCTTGCACTCCCGACAACATCCTGACACCCTGAACCCTAAGTACACTAAGTCCTCTCACTAAGCCCTACAAACCCTCCAGCCCGAAGGCCAGGCCGTAGAACCCCTAAATAGCTCTATCACCCTACAAAACCCCGCTAGCACCTTAACGCTGCTAAGCCGCAGGCCATGCACCTCGCACAGCATGACCCAGGCAAGCTTGAGGCCGGAGCCTTGATTTCTGGAGCAGTGAGAGAGCTCATTTGCTTTGGGGGTTTAGGGTTTTAGGTCAGCCCTAAAACCGCGCGTGTCCGAGAGCAAGCGCCGAAACCGGTAAGCCTAGGCGTTTTTGTGTTTGATTGATACGGAGACCTTATCCAGACCTGTTGCATTACCGATAGGTTCTACTTTTGATGTGCAGGCTGTTGCTATTAGCAACTGATGGTTTTGCGTGTTTCAGCCGTTTTTGGAGGACAGATTTGCCTGCATGTTTCTTCCTGCTGCGCAACATTGCAAACTTGTTTGTAACTTGGTGCTTCTCTGGTCCCCAGATGTCAGAGGTGCAGTATGTTACGCGCATGATGTTCCTTCCTGTTCCTCTCATAGCGTCCGCAGGTGATGCGTCTAGAACATAAACCCACCAGGCCTAGTTTACTTGAAGCGATTCCTCGAAGATAACGCGAGCACATGGCATGTCTGTCACATCGAGCAAATATTACAAAACAAACTCAGTGGGTTGCGCTGTAGATCTACGGCTCTTAATGGTCTTTATGTTTGCTGTTTCAGGTGGTGGTGGTGGTGGTGGTGGTGGTGGTGGTGGTGGTGGTGGTGGTGGTGATGGTGGTGGTGGTGGTGGTGGTGGTGGTAAGTCAAGTTATCTTGTATATTCCCATCCTTCTTGATGCACCCATTCCCTGGGTTTCTGTATTTACATGGATGTCTCTAGCTCCGTTTGCCTGACAGACGATGAGCCAACATAAGTCATCGACCGAGAGAGCAAGAACATGAGACAGAACACGCAATGACATGAAAGAGAGTGGGACCGACAGCAGCAGCACTCTGGAGTCGTGCCGAATCGTGCCGCAGATGCATCCCTCTTGTTTAACAGTTTTACTTGCTTCGTAATCGCGGAAGGCGCTTGAAAACCTGCCAAAGACTGCAGCAGCAAGACGGCTCCATGACAGGATGAGAAGGACCTCCGCGAAAGGCTGAAGGCGAGTGCTGGTTGCTCTGGTGCGGCCTTTGTTCCACCGTCGCGCTTCGCGGGGAGTAACGCCGATAAGAAACGTTTCCGGTCGGAGCAAGGTACTGTAGTACCAGCATAAGAGCTCAGAAGAATGTCATGGGCAGCTTTAACGTATACAGCTTGTGTTTTCCATGGCGTCGGACGTCCACATGTTTTATAAGGCATATCCAGCTAAGCACGACGCAAGAGACTCAGCCGCTTCTGGCCCCAAGTGCAAGAGGTTCACAAACTAGACTCAGAACCGTGTCTCGGTCTCTTCTAGTCTTTGGCAGCAGTCACAGGGGTTCGTGTCGGCGGGGTTCCGGAAATACAAGGCCGACATCCTACGTTTGTATTCGGTCTGCTCTACAGGAGGCTTCCCCCGTTTTGTAACGAAACATAAAAGCTCCATCCCAAAGCATGCTGGATTTTCAGGAGATTGTTGAAGTACGGTCCCCGCGCACAGGGGTATGGGTCCGAAGTTTGAAAATTCCCGGCCCCCTTTCAGCTGCGACCTCGGCTGCTGGGCGTTGCTGACTTCCTCGTGGTTGAGGTTGAAAGCTTCAGCCCTGTGTCTTTAGAGGTGAGACTATTACAGGGTTTTGGGGGCCCATTATACTATAACTATAATAAGGCCCCCCCTTCAAAATAGTACTGGTAGGATCTTTTTTTTTTGCGTTCGTGCGATGCTGTCAAGATTTCGTGGCCTGCAACTCGGATATGCAGGCTTCGGCCCTTTGGGCCGAACTCCCAGTGGGGATCCCCAGAAAGGGGGCTGCAGGGTTGCCTTGAGGATGCGGTGATCTGTTTTTGCTGTTTCGGTTTCTTCGGGGGGAATGGGGAAGAGGCGGGTTTAGGGTGTGGAGTTTTAGCTTGAAGGCATGAATTAATTGCGTTGTATGTGATTTGGTTGAGGGTATTTTGAGTGGGGGTTAGGTGGGGTGTTCCAAAGTTGACTAGTTGAGGGTCTTCGGGAAGACATTCTGGGGCTGTCATGAATCAGCTGTTGGCGAATTCCTGGTTATCCTGGACCAAGAACTTTGCTCGCTAAAGCTTTAAAGCATTTCAAAGCCCAACTAAGCCAGCAGAAGGTTGGACCACCGCTGTTGAGGGCGCTCTAAGTCAACAAGCAGGCAGTATGCGACATCCCAAACTCATTACACAGCATCGGGTCGCG